TCCAAGAGGTAATACAGCAATTATCATGATCTTGATGCATATAATGCTCTACGAGATGGCAGCAGCAGAATGCAAAATATACCTCAATGAAGTGAAAATTGGCCTGACTCGTTCAAATATCTCTTCCTGAGTTCCAGTACCATCGACCTGCATTCATTTTTTGTGAAGAAAAAGTGATACATGAGCAAGTTGCTTGGTTCAAGCTGAACAGGATACGCCAACAGAAACCACTAAAAATTATATAGAACCTTTTTCTTAACATGAAAGGGGAAAAGGGGGAGAATAAAAGGCCTCGTCAAGCAGAAATTTTCAACATTTTAGAACAAGTTGTCACCATAGGAAAGAGTACCTTGTAAAGCTTTCCTTTCTTGGCATAGTGGTTGACTACAGGAAGAGTTACAGCTTTATATACTTTTAGGCGCTCCTTGACTGTATGTTCATTATCATCAACTCGCCCCTGAAAAAGAAACATTATATCACCTTTTCCTCTTCAGGACATACCTAAAACATAAAAGCAGTATTAACATCACCTCATTTCGGTTCAATACTCGTTTGACCATTACTTCTTCAGGGCAATCAAAGAAAAGCACAAAGTTTGGTTCAGCACCAATCTGCATTCACATCTAACTTCATAATCTTTAAAATCAACGACAGCATCACTGACTTCGCAGTGCACCAGGTAAACTGGAATGAAGTTCCTTTAAATAACAAAACATGGCTAGAGAATATCCAGTTTAACTGATAATGCTCATTACATTTAAAGACTAGAGAAGCAAAACATTTCATCAAAGGAACTTACAATCCTTTCATACGCTGTTCGGTTCTCTTCACTTCTTGGAAAACCATCAATTAGAAACTTACGATTTTCAGCTGATTCAATAGCCTTTCGAATCAGCTTGACAGTCACCTCTGATGGAGCGATACTTCCTTCCCTCATTAACTTTTGAATCATGGCACTGAATTCAGATGGAAAGATATTACAAATTTTTGTGGGACCTGAACTAAAAATTCACAATGGGAAATGTGGAATTCATACCCCTCCTCAGTGCTGGAATACATCTCTTTCCTCAATAGATCTCCTGCACCTATGTGTTCGAACCCAAAAGTTTCAGCAATCTTCAGGCATTGAGTACCTTTACCACTACCAGGACCACCTAAAAGGACAGCATAACTGCTCAGTAATTCCATATTTTACCCCAAAAATCTAGAAAACAGTACATGCAACCGACATTTTGTCTATTCCCATGTATACTCACATGTAGAACTATTAGCTGAAAAACTGCCATTAAGGGGGAATGTACGTACTAGCTTCTCCATAAACATAAAACAAGCCGATATTATATGTTATCTGCAACGGGACCTATATTTATCACTTCCACTACAAACTAACAAGAATGAGATGAAGGTTGACTTTAGTGAACTCGACAAACTTTTGCTCACGAAAGAGTAAAAAAAACTGACATAAAGTTGCAACATATATGCTTAAACACTGTTTTAAACAAAAATTAAGTGATTATGAGCAACCTGACATAATAAGCAATATGACAAATTATTGTTGGGCTAAGCCAGCCCAAAGATATTCTTAACATCGTGTGATGTTGTCTGTTCTGGATTAAACCCTCACGGTTTTCCTTGAAAGACCTCACACAATTTAAGAGTATCCCTACACCTTATAAGTAGGTTCTTGTTCTCATTAACTACCATTGTGAGACTTGTTATACAACCAACACTCCATTCCAATATGAGTGTCCTAATCAGTATCATGAAAATGTCCACTTTGCCATAAAGAAATCTCTGTACCTTATTATCTTTTGCTTAATGTTATACATGATTAAATGAGAACCACAATCAAAATTCTCAAAAGAAAGCTGGTGGTGTTCCACCGGCCGGCCCATCCCAAAGTCCAACTACGAGTTTTTTAACTACAACAACTTAAATATACGCTATTAAAGCTGGAATTATCGCGGCTGCTGGCACCAAAATTGCCCTCCAATGGATTCTCGTTAAAGGATTTAGATTGTACTCATTCCAATTACTAGACTCAAAGAGCCCGGTATTGTTATTTATTGTCACTACCTCCCTGTGTCGGGATTGGATAATTTGCGCACTGCCTTCTTTGGATGTGGTAGCCGTTTCTCAGGTTTCTTGTTCTTATTAAAGAAATCTCTGTACCTCATTATCTTTTGCTTAATGTTATACATGATTAAATGAGAACCACAATCAAAATTCTCAAAAGAAAACTGGTGGTGTTCCACCGCCGCCCATCCCAAAGTCCAACTACGAGTTTTTTAACTACAACAACTTAAATATACGCTATTAGAGCTGGAATTATCGCGGCTGCTGGCACCAAAATTGCCCTCCAATGGATTCTCGTTAAGGGATTTAGATTGTACTCATTCCAATTACCAGACTCAAAGAGCCCGGTATTGTTATTTATTGTCACTACCTCCTTGTGGGATTGGGTAATTTGCGCGCTGCCTTCTTTGGATGTGGTAGCCGTTTCTCATGCTTCTTGTTCTTATTAACTACAGTGGGACTTTGTTCACACAACCAACAACTACTTTTAGACTTATTCTCTTCATTCCAATAAGAGTGTCCTTATCAGTATCATGAAAATTCCACTTTGCCATAAAGAGATCTATATTCCTCATAATGAACCGCTATCAAAATTCTCAAAACTAACTGGTGGTGTTCCATCCCCCTCCTAATCAACTCCCCTCCCCCCCCCCCCCCCCCCCCCCAAAAAAAAAGAGATGAAAAGAGATACAACAAATACTTTAGCAAACAATATTGGAATGAGATGATTTGAATGGAGAACCGTGGTAGGTGAGGATTCATATAGTAGGCCTCGACTTGTTTGGGACTGAGGCATAGTAATTATTATCAACAACAACAAAAAAGTAGCACGATCTACTCCGAGGTCGGAGAGATACCTATCTCAGACTAGCTACAATTGAGAAAAGATTTAATTGGGATAATCATAGAAGAGATGAATCAGGGGTGGAGCTATAATGCTCCTTACAGGTTCGGCAAAACCTAGTAACTTTGGCCGAGACCCTCTATTCAGTGGCGAAGCCACATGGTCACAAGGGCTTCGTCGAAAAATTGCACTGTGTATATAGGTAAAATACTATGTTTTAGAGGTATATAACATGTATTGAACACCCTTTGTCGGAAATCTTTTTTTCACTTCTTTTAAATTTGAATTCCCTTGAGAAAATTTGTAGCTTCACCACTGCCTCTATTTGTGTTAGAAAATATATGTATAAATGATCTGTTCAGAATGTAGTTAGCAGCCTTTTCTAGAATCCAGAATCCATAAACTTAAAATTCTAGTTCAGCCTCTAAGATATTAACCAAATTCTGACAAGACAAACTAGAAAAAAATCAGTGTCTGAATAATGCAATCTAATAGACTAAAAGGTGAATTTAGTTACCCAAAACAAAAGCGACAAAAGGGCTATTTCTTGTGGAAGAGCTTTCACTTTCTGCCTACACGCGTAACAAAGGGAAGAAAAAAAAAACAGAGGAGTCAATAACATTTCGTAGGAAAAATAATTCACTGTAAGAAATGCTAAAAAATTCCAATAGCGGGGAAAAACAAAAACAAAACGAATTACCGGGTTGAGGATTTCAGCAGAAAATGCTTGATAAATCTTCAGCTGATCAGCTCTTTTCACCTATTTTACAGTAGATAATAATATCCAGAGAAATTGACAACAATATTGAGAGGTTTGCAGCAGCAAAGCCAAAGAGATTAGATCAATTGTAGTAAAATACATACCTGGTGAAAATGAGAAAAGAAGAGAGGGAGTGAAGTCAAACGCCTCCTGTACATCTCTGATCCTCCTATTCCTTTTCTTTTTTGGGAAAATTTTGGAATGATTCTCTCTCTCTCTCTCTCCTGGGTTTGGATTTCAGTGTTGAAAAAGCACGTCGAGTGAAGTGAGTGAGTCACATAAACAATACCTGTGCGCACGTTAGAGTCCCATAAACGCTGCAACAGTTGTCGGGACCGTTTCCAAATCGGGTTTGGGTCCCGCCGCTTCTTCAATGATTTTTTGAGTTTAGACTTTATACCTAAGGCCCTAGGGTTATAATCGTAACCGATTGAATCAAAATCAGCCTTAGGATGTCTATTGTCTCCTACTGAAAAGACCAAAAAAAGTAATCTTTAAGTAAGTCTAATCTAGAAAAGTTTCTAAGTTGTCCATAAAATTGTTTTCTTGCACGAATTACATTGAATGACCTTAGAGCTGTTATTGACAAATTACTACTAAGTTGAATAACCTTTTTCTTATTAAGTCGGTATTCTATGCCTAATCTTAAGTTACTAACAAATTACTTTCTCTTTTGTTCTTTTCTTTGTTAGGTAGTACTTCAATACCTCTTAATCCCAATATCAGTCTGGTATGAGTTTGATCAAACTCAAACTTGGTTTGCTAATAAAGTGAAATTAGGTTTTTGCATTTTGTGAAGTTTATTAAATTTTTCCAAGTTTTGAAGTCCTTTTAGTCACTTTTGGAAAAAGGTACTAGCTTTTAAAAAGCTCTTTTTTGCTTTGGCAAAATTCATGAATAACCCCTTAAATTTAACACCAACTGCCAAGTAGACACTTTAATTTTGCGTAGTAATTAGTTAGGCACCTTTACTCGGCATAAATGATGTATTCATGGTCACTAACAAAATTCAAGTATTTATCTGATATTTGGTGCCAAATTTAAAGAGGCATCTATGACTTTCGCCTTTTTCTTTCGTAGTTTCTTAGGGAAGAAACGGAGTGAAAGTCTGAAAGATTTTATAAATATTTACGAGATTCATCGCGTTAATTTCCCTTTATGTCTTGGTCTAATTCGGTCATTCACGTTCTCTTCGAAATATTGCAAAAATAAGAAATTAAAAATAAAAAAAATAAAAATAAAAAAACAGAAAGACGTCAACCTCTACCACTTACCATTGGAACAACCAATTCTAGGGGAAGAAGAAAAAGAATATCAAGATGAGTATCTAACCAATAACTGTTAAATAACTAATCTCAGCAAATGTGTTTTGCTGCAGTGACAATCAGGAATCAGATAGTACTATATTAGTTGGAAGAGTTTCTGGAAATTACAGTGATTGCTCCCTTCAACTCCAGTGGAACTTCCAGCTTCAATCAAGAAAACGTTCTTGGCAAGGGAGGAGCAACTTTGATGGCCTCCAAAACTGATTTGGTTATGCCTTTTTTTTTTCTTTCCCCAGAATTCGGTTATGGCGTTTTGATATTCAATTTTTAGAATCTAAACTTGGGCTTCCCAGTAACACGGACAAACTCAGGAACACCAGAGAGATGTCTACTATTTGGACAACCAAAAGCCTAGTCAGCGGTTCAATAGCCAATTTACCCTGAAGGCCTGAACACTGATAAACTGCAAAATTTAACATACTTAAGACCACTTATATACAAAATCCCTGACAAAAGGGGTTGAGGAGAAGAGAAGGGTGCAATTAAGTGGCATCTACATATTCTCCACAGCATTTGACATCTCTTAGGTCCTCCTGAATGTCAACGCGGTACAATCTGCTGCACAATCCTCAATTTGGCAGGAGGCAGAGGATTTAACCAAATAATCATCTCTTCATCTGGAGGCCTTAGCTGAGGTGGAGGATAGAGCCTATTCCACATGATGCCATCACATTTCTTTGTGGAAAATGTCGCCGGCACTTAGAAACAAAGTGAGGCACCATGTAACTGCGGAAGTAGTAAACTCTTTTTCTCAAGGAACAGATGGGTTTTCAGCTTCCTCTGATTCTTTAGGAGTCTTTCCGGCTAAATCATAATTAATAGAAGCCAGCTGTGACAAGTTCTGGAAGCATCCAAAGAAGAAAGAGAGAAGGCAAATGAGATAGAGAGAGGAGTATGAAGAACAGAGAGAAGAGCTCATATAGTAATCAAAGCTATCGTGTCCACGAGTGTCTCTCAAACTACAGCAAGACTTATCAGGTCAAATGTGCTTGTCAATACTCTAGCATTCATCACAAAAGAGATGTAAAGCAACTAAACAGAGATAACATCATCTTCATGTAGATTACTCAAACAATAGGATCATAGCCAGGCAGCATTTCTTACCTTAAATGAAAAATTACTGAAGGAGTAGTTCACATTCAGGGCAGGGGTACCAAACTCTGCTAGATTACCGCATTCATCTCCCTGTCATGACAAATTATGAGTTAGAACAAGATAACAACAACATATACCAGAACTTTGTGGGTAGAGTGATGTTATCTATTTTGAAATATCAGAGGGTCAAAGGGCAGACAGGTTTAAACCGGTAATCCTTCTGTTAGAAATCCAGGTGGCCCAGGTCGTAATTAAATTTTAGTTATAGAAATGCTCTGCAAATTAGAGAAATTTATACCTCTTCATCCTGTAGATTGCTGTATGAACTACTGCTACATGAGGCACTGCCACTCTCACTCAACTCATAAAAATCACTACCTCCATTGACATTCTCATCTTCTGGATTCCAAATGTAACGGCTCATAAAATAGCTAGTGTCATGTGCATCAGCAGACGGGACAAACGTAGCCTGTCGACAATTAATTATAGCATTAAAAGTTCCTCCTGACCGAATCCTTTTTTTTGTTGGAGGAATGGAGAGAAAGACAGAAAGAGAAAGAAACCTTTTGCCTTGCAAGTGTGTCCCAGTTGATATCCCTGAAGAAAAGATGTCGCTTTACCTGTTAAAATAAAGAACGTAAAAGGGAATAAACTTGAATTTTCTTTTACATTTCATAGTTTAGAAGTGGCTGGATTTCAGTGTGACTTGGTAATGGGGAATTTTTACCTCTCCTGCCCCTGTTGCACCTAACCTTTGAACTGGGTTTTCGTTCAGCAACCTAGAGAAAGCCAAAATGAATTTAAGCACAGAAGTAGACTTTTATGAGTAGTATAGATTATTCAGTCATGTGAAACAAACTGGAAAAGATCAACCTTTATTTTTGTAATTTTCCTAGAAAGCAAATAATAACTCCCACGGTAAATGAAAGGGATTTTGTTGGCTTTTGCGAATTTTGAATCACAAGTATTCCTGATAATTACTTAAAACCAAGACTTTTGTTCCAGGACTTACTTGTTAATCAAGTCATATGCTTCCAAGCTCATTTCTTCTGGTATCTTAGGCCAAGGTATGTCCCTGTTAATGATATTGTCAAAAATTTGCTGCAACAAAATAGAAGCGCTTGATATTAGGTTATGCCACATGTTTACACATGCATAACAAAATTGTTTAACAAATTTCCTCAAAAGTTGAAGAACAAATGATTTCTATCTTAGAGAAGTTGCCCAATTGGAGCAAAGAACAATTTTCCATCCACAGAAAAGTCCTTTTTGCAAAACTCAAATAACATGCAGAATAAATAAATAAAGTTAAAAGCATCTTGGTTTTTAAATAGGTTCATAAAATTAATATAGCTGCACCAACAGAATGGAAAGAAACCTAAGCACCCCTGAGAAGTAATCTGGGTTTAGTACAATAGGTCATAATCCAAGAATTCAATCTCCGGAAAAGCAAACTGTTCCACATTGATCATTCTTAACAACTAACACACCTTTTAAAGCATTCAAAATGAATTGTATTACCGTCGAGAATGTATGACAAAATTAGCACAACGTAGTCAGTGCAACCACTTATATAACTCCATGTTACAGAATACCAGAATTGTCAACCTAAGAAAACAGGATACTCAACTTTAAAGAACCACAATCGACGTGGATATTCTAACTGGAGCAGCTCATTTGTTCTTATTAGACATGCACACATGAAGGAAGACATTAGTTACATTGTGGCCTTTCAGAATCATAAACATCATCACTAGTATGTTATAACCACGGAATGAACACTCTCATCCACATCTAACATATTTCTCATCATCAACAATAATTTTTTATGAAAATTAGAGAGGAGGTTCAGCATAAAATTTGAAAAAAGATGCACACAATCATCAGAGTTCATGCTTCAAGTCAACCTATCTGTCACTACAATGAGGATGAATCATCCTGCAGAACTACAAATCTGTCATGTCCATCTTAGCGGGAAAAGCAGGCTAGATTTAGCTGTTAGTCTAAAAGTTGCAAAAGGAGAAAAGGAAATCCTGGTTAAGAGGAGTTGTTAATTAATTAGTGCATCTGTTGTTCAATGAGATTCAAAAAGCATTTAATATTGATCTAATCAGAATATAAAATTGACATATATATATATATATATATATATATATATATATATATATATATATATATATATATATATATATATATATAATGGACATTGAAATCTTAAAATTTAAGCAACAAGGGAAGGCAATCACCAATGACAATGTCCAAAAGAATAATAATCTCTACAAAAGAAAAAAACTGCAGAGTTGTCTTGTGGTCTTATCGAATACAGCAAGCATACCTGAGGATGTTCTGCATTAAAAGGAGGAAGACCAACAAGAAGCTCAAACAAAATAACACCCACTGACCACCAATCAGCTGTTACACCTGGAAAAAAAAATAGATTTATTTTAGCTGAAATCACAATGAAACAACTTGCATAAAAACATATGCACTTCCTCTCTCCAACTTATCAGACACGATTTGGACTAAGCATGGATTAAGACATTGCTTAAGAATATTATAGGTGAAAATAGAAAGAACTTTCAGAATAGTTTTCCAAAGATGATTTGTACGTGAAAAGTTACATGTTTAAATGTGAATTCTTGATGCTAGTAATGGAGACATAAGAGTAGAAGTTTGTCAGAATTTTCAGATGTTCCAAAAGGGAAAATGTGCTTCATAAACTGGGAAGAGGGAGTAGTTTGTGACTATGTAAGATCAATCATGAGGTAATTCCAAACCATGTCCCATGCCGAGAAGTATCTCCGGTGCTAGATAATCAGGGGTGCCAACAACTGAATTCTTTTGCCTCTGTTCTCTTTTGAGTGATTGCTCTTCCATCTTGGGTTTATCTTCCCCAAGAAAGGCAGAACTTGGCACTGATGGTCCTGCTAAGTCATCAGTGCTATTGATGAGACCAACCTTTGAAAGCCCAAAATCTGTTAACTGTAATTATAAAGATTAGATTGTGAGAACTAGGAAACTAAAAATAAATAAAAGTCACAGAATATGTTGTCAAATCCTTTAAACAATGCCTGAAATTCAACTCAGCTTAACAACAATAATTCAGACATTCGAGTTTTTGGACCTTTCAACAAAGTAAAAAGACTACTACTTTTTGATAAGGTAAAGATTAACAAGTAAAAAGAGTACTAAGCTGTATAAAAGTATTTTTGACCTTGATGTGACCGCTCGGACCTATCAACAAGTTATCTGGCTTCAAATCTCTGTGAATGATATTTAAAGAATGTAGATACTCCAATGCAAGAACCTGGATAGGACAAGACAAATAAGATCTATATACCATTTCTGGGAACAGCAGAAAAGTTGGTAGGATGCCAAAGTTTGGCAAGCCTATTAAACTAGTCCTTACTAGTTCTGCAATGTATATACGTGCCATATCTTCCTCTAAGCAGCCCAAATTTCTCAATAATGAGAAAAGATCCCCACCATTTAGGTACTCCATGACCAGATAAAGATTATCCCTGCATGTGAAGGAGTAAAAAAAGCGGACCTGTTCACCACCAGATAATCCATTAGTATGGTTTCTTAGAAGTGCTTTGTTTCTTATTTTAACAGTGTGATATTCGTTAATTTCAATTAACGTAAACTTGATTCATAAAAGAGAAGAGATCGACTAACCACAAAAGGATTGCGGACTGATATTAAAATATCTCTCTCGGCCAATATATTTTCTACTGCATTTTTCCGTATCATGTCAGCCTTTTTCAAAACCTGCGAAAAATATGGTCGATAAAGTTCAGGGAATGGAGTTAGAACCCAAAATGGGCAGAAAAAATAGCAAAAAATGCAAAATCAATATGATTGGTAGGTTTGACAGAAAGACAGAGAACATAGTTCAAACAACATAACTATAGGCAACGAAAATTCGAGACCTAACAGGTTATTAGTTTTTTATAGAGAATAGTTTTCGATATATAAGATGTGATAGATTCAGGAGAAGGAAGCTTCCAGACTTTGATTTTGAATAAATTAGTGGACGGAATCATGGATGTATGCAGGGTGTGTGTGTGTGTGTGTGTTAGTTTCATTTAGTTTCAACATCTAACTTATATACAGAATAATAGGAAGATCTCCTGCAAATTACTTGAAATTATTATCCTTCAATTGGACACAGTTTTTACCTTGATTGCAAATACGTCACCTGTTGCCCTTTTCTTGGCCAGGAAAACTCTCCCAAAAGCTCCCCTGCTGATTGGTTTTATAATTTCAAAATCTTCAATAGATGTTCGATCCTTGGACACTGTGTTTATAGGGCTTGCACGCACACTACGACTTGTATCATCTTCTGTTGAACTGTCCTCATCACCTGTGGTATTGGATGGTTCCACTTTTTCATCTTCAATGTGCCCACAAAGTAATACATATTTCTCCCTGTAGAGTTTGAGTAAACATGCAAATTAAAAGTAGAATGATGTCTGGGGTCAAAGATGAACTAAAAGCAAAACATAAACTTCTCTTAATTTCTGTCGACAGTTATTATCATTTTTACGAAAATTTACAAGAATAATAGAACTCACTGCAATAGTTTCTCAATACGTCTCCCGAAGGTCTCAACAACAAGAGCATCCACTTTCCTTTCCTGAATTGCATATTTTAGGTCTTCTAGTCGGTCAAGCAAGTATTCCAATGTACTGTAATCATTGTTGTTTGCGTTGGCAACTGATCGAGCAATATCCAATAGCTTATTTATCTGCCATGATTCTCCACGATGTAAAAAACAGACTTAATCAACGTCCAATTGATAAAACAAGCAATTAAGGAACCTATACTATTTAAACACCAATTGGGTGGCGGAGAGCACAAATGTCAAAACTATAACAAAAACCAGAATATGAAAATAATGACCAATAATTTATACTACTAATAAAAATCCAACTTCCAATAGTAGCTTGGTGGCTCAACACTCCTAAATGTGTAAACCTAAAAATCATCCTCAAATTCCTGCTACTAACTTCAACATTATGGGGCTAAACTGGTCTGTTTATTGTACTACATCCGGTCGTCTTTTAGTCCCGCCATCTAGTTTCTTGTTTTTCTTGACCTGAAAACACTCTTAGTTACATTATTTTACATTAAGCTTTTGCAAAGAATTTCATTTAAAATATAAAAGAATTATTTCAAAATATAAGCACCCAGACAAGTTTGCCAAAATTTATGATAATGCCTTATGGGCTGTAGGGCATTACAAATAAAAATAAAACATACAAAGAGAGAGAGAGAGAGAGAGAGAGAGAGAGAGAGAGAGAGAGAGAGAGAGAGAGAGGAGAGAGCAAAAACATGAAGTTTGGAAAAAGGCAAATTTACAATGGGAATCTTTTGAAGGCCTCATTAAGCATGCCGTGGACCAAAAAGAGTTGGAGAGAGAGAAAGAGAGAGAGCACAGATATGAAGTTGAAATCCTTATGAAAGGGGCATCAACTATGTACATGAACTAAAAAGGACTTGGCGCTTAGAAAGCCTTGGCCTTCTTGTTTTAAAAATCCATTTGTATTACTGTTGCAATTCATGGATGCTTCATTTATTGAACTCCAGCTACCAGATACAGGAACACTAATATACTATAGCACCTAACTATGTTTGATATTGGTGTCTCATAATTGCTAGATATCAGCTCTTCTACCATTTTATAGATTTTATGTTCAAACCAATAGGAATAAGTATTTTATGATAGTCCTCTCACACATTTTCTTCAAAATTCATAACTCCTAGAGAACTACTAAAGTAATACAATCTACTAAAACTTATATAATTGGAGAATTAGAAGCAGATGTAAAATGATATATAGCAGAATTACATTAGCTGTCAATTACAGAGAACCAGATAAAGTCCCAACAATCTCAATCACAGAGGAACCTTTTTACTTCAACATCTGTCACTATATGCATTTGCTGAAATACCAATCAAGAATATTAAAGTATGTTTGAGCAAGAACTAGGAGGCCAAAACAGCTGCAAATATGAAACGTAACTTAGATGCATGATTAAATAAGTCTCTTAACAGATAAAACAATTTTTACCACAGAAGGCCTAAAAGATCTATATCTGATGAGAAGAGTAAATAGCACAAAGCCCTTTAATTGTCCATAAGAAGAAACCAGCTTTGTTATAATGACCAGGGTTTTAAAAGGCGTTTTCGGGGCGAGCCCTGGGGCGAGGCGCACCAAAAACGCCCTAAGGCGATGGTGTGGGGCGAAAGTCTCGAGAGGCATATGCCCAGCAATTCGGGGCGTAGGCCCCGGCGTTTGAGGCACGTTATTTTAATGAGGCGTAAGCCCAGAGACTTTTTCAAATTAGAACAAAATTTGTTGAATAAGTCCTTCATATAATACCCAAATTTTCAAAAGTCAGCTTGGTAATTTCTCAAAAGTTTTAAAAAGGAACTGAAATGTATTAAATTTAAAAGTCAAGGCCTTTTTTATTGATTGAAGTCCTAATTCATGGTTTTTCCCAATTCTTTATCTTGTACCCAAGTCTGCTAATATCTCCAAAAAGAAACGAATATTCAATTTTTTTTACAAATACAAAGAGAACTCCATTCTCCTTCATAGCAGCAAGTTCAAAGTTCAAATTGCAGGTTAGTCATCCTTTTTGTTCCTCCATGTAGAAAACTTTATTCTTTTCGACTCAAGTTACTTGTGCTTCTAAATAGCATATAATAGATTGTTTTGACTAATTTTTTGTGGGGATGGAGCACCTCTATATATATATTTTTCACATATTTATAGTTTTCTTCAATTTTTATGCAATTTAACCTGTTTATAAATATTTACTGTAATCATATTATTTTATAAAATATTAAAAATTAAATATTTATGGGGCTTACGTCTCGCCTTACGCCCACGCCTTTTAAAATACTGATAATGACCTATACTGGAGCACAACAACAACACCAACTTTTGTCCCAGAAAAATAATTTCTTGTATAAGATTGGGATATCCTACTCACCCTTGCACAAGTAATAGTTTAAACAAAAATAGATCTTCTATAGTTCGTATGCATCAGCATGCATTGTAGCTTTCTTAATAGTTGTCTAAAGTAACACAAGCAGCATCATATACAGGTCAGAGTAAAATGATTTTAGCTGTACATGGTAGATTCCAAATGTAAAGGTCAGAGTAAAATGAGTAACCTCAGGAAAACGTCCAGAACTGAGAGGACAGTACCATAGAAATTCCTATCATTTTCTGTACCTGCTGATAATTTTCATGTTCAGATACCATTCTGCGTCCACTCAGCATCAGTTCGATCTGGCTAGTTCGTGGAGTCACTAAAGGTGACCGAGGCGTTAAGCACCCCACTGATGACTGTTTCTTAGATATGTCGGTCAAGCTGTTGACATTTTCCGGAAGGCATCTACTATCGGACTCAGGAAGACAATCTAGCATGTCTTCTGAGCATCGTCGAGACAGGCCATTCTGCTTGACTAACAAGGCATTCAACTCTTCAGGCATATTCAATGTAGACCCTCTTGATACATTAGGACTTCCTGCCCCTGTGTCCGTGCTCTTCGGTGTCCATGATTCAAGTATTCTTTCAAGAGTATCCACAACTCTTTCTAGTCGTTCATTTACTGCCAAGCCCTTTAGATCACATCTATCAGCAATTGTACATATTCTCGAATGTTGTTCTACGTACACAGTTGGTATCTCAACTTCACATATTCGGCAAATAAATGAATCTTCATATGACAAGCAAGGTTGATCCCACATTCCCCAATTAACCTTCTTAATCTTTGAGGTTTCCTCAGAATGCTCAGGGTGGCATAATGGAGTGTTTCCAAAACTATCCATCTCCTCTTTGTGTTGCAGACCATCAGTTTTGCCTTTGGACGGGGTTGTTTCAAAAGAGTCGTGGCCCATACGGCTTCTTTCAGCTGCAGAAGGAAGTTTCTTCCAAGACGACATTCGGTAGCTTGCAGCGGCAGAAGCGACACTTTTTGCAGTGCTAACGTCCATGTCTCCAACTTCACTTATTTGGTCTTGTTTAACAGCCAGATTACTTTGCTCGTGTCCGACAAACTTTTGACCTCGTGTTGCACTTATGTCCTGGCTTTTGGACCCACTAAGTCGTTCTGGATAAAATCCAAGGTCACTAAGTTGGTGAAAAGTCAAAATGTGGTCTTCTTCATAACCACTCTCCTTTTGGAACTGCACAAGTCTAGTGCAACGAGTAAGAATAAACAGAAGGTGGGTGTGCGCTTGCTTAAGGGTTCCCATAGGTAGCTCTTGACGGTGGTCATCTAGACTCTGAACAATGCCTTCACACTTTGACCAGAATTCACTTGGTGACATCTTAGCGCAACGCCTAGCTGTAATCAACAAATCTTCCAACCTCTCTCTCCATTCAGGATGAGATTCTGAAGTCTTCTCGAGTATACCAACCAAATCTCCTGCAAAGATGCCTAGGTCAGCATTGACCTCTTCCTTTAACTTGTCAAATTTTGCTCGTACCATCACCATGATTTCCTGTAAAATGGCATACAGAGGTTCTGCTAAATTATCAAGTGTCAAACAGTAAAACAAGGATAAGCTGTTCAGGGCCTCAGAAAATTTATGTCAGTCACAGGCATAACTGGAGCTAAGAAAAGGCGACATACTTCCATACGCCCAATAGCACGAGACTTCCAGAATGGAAGTGGGCGGACTCCTTTTGAATTTAGTTCATGAGAGAAGCTCTTGATGTCTGGAATTCTCCTTCTACGACCACTGGTAACTCGCAGTATAGCCTGAAAACGTGGAGATTGCATTTCCTTGGAGAAAGTTGCATGGCTTCCCTATAATGAGCAAAATCACAACGAATTTCTACTTCACCAAATACATAGCATAAACCATTTCCAGAAGGAATATAAAGTCATGAACGAAAGCAAATAAAGTAAAATGTAAGTTCACCTCTGCACTTGAAATACATGGCGAAGGCACTTTCAAAGGTTTCGACTGACTCCATTGGACTTTTTTACCTGAAAAATTAACGCACTATTTAGGCTGATATGTGTTAAATTCTAAAATGCTCAAACAATCTTACACAGAAACCACGTTTGTAAAACAACTGGTAGGAGTATATTCTTCAAGTACAAAGACAAGGGAGCATAGCTTATTTCTGAACTATTTTACAACCTATTTGGATGAAAACATTTGGATTTAAGACACCATTTCATATTTATAAATTACTCCCTCCGTTTCATATTAAATGAGTTAGTTTGATTCGGCACGGAGTTTAAGAAAAAGAAGAAAGACTTTTGAAACTTGTGGTCTTTTAAAGTTTAAGGGGTAAAAAGTTTGTGGGGGCTATGGCATTTGTGTGGCTATAAAAGCTCTCATTAAGGGTAAATGGGTAAAATAAAAGAGTTTAAAGTTGAATTATTTCCAAATTAAAAAATGTGTCATTTATTTTGGAACAGACTAAAAAAAAGAAAGTACATCATCTAATTAATATAAAACGGAGGGAGTACAAAGTTTTGAGATTTCAAATGAGATGCTAATAAGGATTGAGCTTAGAAATGTTTTTAAAATCAAATTTTCCTAATTATATTCAAAGAGATGCAAATAATTCCAGATTTTGAATGGAAATACATAAAGCAAATCACTTTCCTCTCACGAGGTAGAAAGGAACGTGAAATCGACCTTGTTCGGAAGAATGTGTAGCAGGTTTTTGAACAGAGGTCGCCGATTTAGAGCCTAGGCTGTCGACGACTCCATCTTTACCCCTATATTCATCAACATCCAATGGAGTAACGATAGAATTACAAATGCTAAGAGGTGATGGAGCGGAACGCGTCCTTATATGGTTTAGGCCGAGAATTGAAGCCTCGTTCGTAGACGATGTTTCACTTCCACTATCACGATCATCATCCTCATTAGCATCTTCGCCGTCGTCGTCAACACGATGACGTACGGGTATGGGAGGAATCTTCCTTAACTTCACAACGGACGGCGATTGGGTCCGGTCGGAAGAAGGTGAACCGATGGCGATTGAATTTAGGGTTTTTTCCGGCTCCAGATTGTCTGAGGTGGAGGATATCCTCGACATTGTAGTTGATTATAGATTCAATAACGATCCGGTTGATCATAATTGCATGGTGATCAAAGAAGTATTCGATATAATTTAAGAGCTGATTAATGATAATTAAGTTTGGGAGGAGTGAGAGAAATGTGATTATAAAAGAAGGATGTAAAAATGGAAAGTGGAATTGGGAAATCCAGATTTTGGGATAGTGGATTGAGAGTTTGAAGAAGAGGGAGATTTTCGCGGGAAAGGAGAAGTTAGAGGGCGACACGCAGTTGGGGTGTACTGTACTGGAAATGGACTGAGTTGGTTAATTCACTATAGTTACGTGCTTGCCACTTACTGGGACCATGAGGTGCCTAACTAGGCAAGTATGTTTAAAAGGCGAATTTACGTCTTTTTTAGCATTTAAATAAAAATCTGAATTTACGTCTGCTACTAATTTAAAGAAGATGAGAATGTAAGGTGAAAATAGCCAGTACCTTGTAGACTTTGCACTTCTCTATCCTTTTTATATTTGAACTAGTTTTGGCCTAAAACAAGTATGCTGGGTCACGTTCTTTCCGTAACAAATAGATATCAAATGCCATAGACGCACTTAGACCAGATACCCGAGTCAGCGACTTGGCAAATTATCGACAACCATAATCCTTCTCTCACAATGTTTATCCATAATCAGTGTCCTCGCAAACAATCTCAAATCTTAGAAATGAAGCAACTTATAAACACTCGTATTTCGCTTTAGGCGCATTTATAATAAATTATTGTGACTATGGGTACGATTCCCGTGGCATGATCATAATACATAAACCCCAATTCGAATGCGCGTTTCACGCGACTTGGCCATAACTTCAAATAATCTATATCTATGTTATTATAAAAGCATGAATAAAATATTGGATTACAAAAATAATCTTTTAATATTAAGCATATAACTCACAATAAAAGGATGTAATCGGAATACTAGACATTAGCCTTGTAATCCTATTAGTTTTAGGACATAATACTATACGTTAGGAATCCTACATAATTACCTTTAAGAATCCTATTAGTATAATTATTTTCGGGCAAAGATATATAATACTACATGTTAAATTTGTGTAAAAATAATTTTCAGTATGTTTATATGTTGTAAGTTCGCATTGAGCCGGGGGAAGTGGGCGTGGATGTGAGGCTTGAATCACAGGTTATCCCAAGTATAGGCAGCTTCAAGTACCTTGGGTCAGTTATCCATGGGGGAGGAGAGATCGATGAGGATGTCGCACACCGTATTAGGGTAGGATGGATGAAGTGGAGGTTAGCATCCGGAGTTTTGTGTGACAAGAGAGTGCCAACGATACTCAAAGGTAAGTTCTATAAAGCGGTGGTTAGACCGGCCATGATGTACGGGGCTGAGTGTTGGCCTGTTAAGAACTCACATATCCAAAAGATGAAAGTAGCAGAAATGAGGATGTTGAGGTGGATGTGCGGGCACACTAGGTTGGACAAGATTAGAAATGATGATATTCGAGAGAAGGTGCATGTGGCTCCCATTGATAACAAGATGCGGGAAGCGAGGCTCAGATGGTTCGGACATGTACAAAGGAGAAACCCTGATGCTCCAGTAAGGAGATGTGAGCGACTGGTTGTGGAGGGCACGAGAAGAGGTAGAGGGCGGCCTAAGAAGTATTGGGGGAAAGTGATCAGGCAGGATATGGCGAGGCTTCAGATTTCCGAGGACATGAAACTTGATAGGAAGTTGTGGAGGTCGAGTATTACGGCTGTAGGCTAGGAGGTAGTTAAGTCTTGCGTTACCTTGTTCTGTTGTGAACCTAGTCTGGTAGGTTTTTTGTCTGAAATAGCTAGGGGCATTGTCGTGTCTTACTATTTTCTCTTTTGGTGCAGGACCTATTTACTGGCCATCATTTTTGTGTTGCATTTTTCCTTATGCATTTTATGTTCCTATTTTTTCTATGATCTCTGTGGTGAAACTAATATTCTCCCTTTTGTTTTTCTTATTATCTTAAGCCGAGGGTCTTCCGGATTCAGCCTCTCTACTCCTTCGGGGTAGGGGTAAGGTCTGCATACATACTACTCTCCCCAGACCTCACTTGTGGTATTTCACTAGGTTGTTGTTGTTGTTGTTGTTGTTGTTATATGTTGTAATTATAAAAAATAAAGCACAGGGACAAACATCCTAAATATTGTACTATATTTACAACAATATATTTTCATGCACGAATAATTATATGTTGCACTCTCAAGAGGGATATCAATATCGATAACAAGAGTCCTAGTTATGGCAGAACAACCAAAGCAGTAGAAGAAAACATACACAAAAAAATATCGTCTAAAGAAGTGTTCGGTAAGATACAATCACATTAGATATCTGTCACGACCCAAATTCCATCATAGGTCGTGATGGCGCCCAACACCATTGTCAGGAAAGCCATTCCTAATCAACTAGTGGATTTCATTTATGTTACTGGAACATTCCCAACATTTACTTAAGTTATAATTTTAACCGATAAAAAATCAACAATTTTAATAACAATAGAAATGCAACCAAAAATGATAGTCTACAGTGTGTGCCAGGAACTAGTGTCACAAGTACCAGGGCATCTAGTAGAATATATAAAATGCTACTATCCTACTGGCTGAAACGGAATAGACAGTACATAATCAACGACAAAAAAAAAAAGAGAACTCCGGGATAACGGCTCAGAAGGGGCAGCTCACCGTGGGATCTCGAACAGAAATCAGGAACGCGCGCCGGAGGGGTAACCAGATGTACCTACCTCAGATCCTGTACAGTTAAGTACAGAAGCGTAGTATGAGTACATAAACAACATGTACCCAACAAGTATCCAGTCTAACCTCGAAGAAATAGTGACGATGGGTCGACTTGACACTTACTAAGGTCAATATCAATAATAAGATATAAGGCTTACTCTAAGCATGATTAGCAGGAATATAATAACAACCTCAGAATTTAGGAGAAAACGATATATCAATCTCAGTCATTTCATATAATAATTTACACTTCAAAGCAGTTAAACAGGATATATACTTGATTATTTCCACATAAGTATCATGCGTGCATTATGCCGAGGTAGTACGGCCCGGTCCAACATAATAATAACTGTGCACTGCCAGAGGGTCGAATGGCGCGAACCATAGATGCATCTATTCTACCGAGGCGATCGGCCCGATCCACACTTAGCAATTATTATCAAGAAGGCACATAGAGGCACATTTATAACCAAATAAATTCATACAAGTTCTCAAGTAAATGTGTACATTCGTTTATATATATTTTCAATCCCTAACGTGTCCTAAGTAATCCCATTAGCAAGTAAGAACACAGGCATTTGCAAGGATGGCATGAAACGGGTCCTAAACTACCCGGACAATTAGCATAATAGTAGCTACGCACGGACTCTCGTCACCACGTACGTATGTAGCCCCCACAGACAATCACATATGTTTGATTAATTCACTTAGGGGTTCATTTCCCTCTTATGAGGTTAGAAAGGAGACTCACCTTGCTCCAAAGCTTACTTCCAAACTCAAGAACGTGCGCAAAACCCTCAATTTGGCGCCAAACACTCCAAAACTATTCAAATAGCAAAAACTAATCAATATAGGCTTAAAAGTTCATTCCCAACCATTAGATTGATCCCCTAACCCAAATTACAAGATTCCTAAAATTCACCCCTCGGGCGCACGTGCCCGGATTCCGGAAATTTTTTAAGAAAGTTGTTACCCATAACCTAAGGATCAAGAATATGTAATTTTTACACCATTTCATAACAAATTTCGTGGTTAAATCTTTTTTTTATCAAAAACCTAGGTTTTACTCTAATCCCATGATTTTCACTAATTTCTATGTGTTAGTCTATCCAAAACCCAGGTATTAAACTCACATTAAGTGAAAATAACTTACCTCACAATGCTAGGTTGAAATCCACTCTTTGGAAGCTCCCAAATCGCCCAAGTGTAGAAGTGAAATGAAATAAATTGCCTTAGTCCCGTTTTTAAAAGCTATGTCCAGGCCTCTGATGTCACATCGACATCAGGTTCGCAATTGCTACAAAATGTTCGCAAATGCGAACTGGGCCTCCCTCTGCCTTGATCGCAAATGCGACAGAGGGGTCGCAAATGCGGACCCTGCTGGGTTCGCAAATGCTAGAAAAATGTCGCAAATGCGACCACTGCCCCCAGCCAGGCTTAATCGCAAATGCGATGCTTTCCTCGCAAATGCGAACATTTCCTCGCATTTGTGAGACCTGCAACTGTGCCTAGAAACACCAGAAAACTGGGGTGTTTTTCACTCCCAACCCACGTCCGAAACTCACCCGAGCCCTCGGGCTCCACTCCGAATACTCACACAAGTCTAACAACATCATACAAACTTGCTCGTGCGATCAAATCGCCGAAATAACATCTAAAACCTCGGATTTAACACCAAAACACATGAAATCTTTAAGAACATTTGAAATTCCTATTTTTACAACAGGGCGTCTGAATCACGTCAAATCAGTCTCGTTTCTCACCAAATTTCAAACATGACTTAAATGTTATATTGGACCTGTACCGGGCTCCAAAACCAACATATGGGCCCGATACCAACAGGATCAAGCATTATTCAATTTCTTTAAATCCTTAGATTTTCAGTTTAACAATTTTTAACAAAAATTCATTACTCGGGCTAGGGACCTCGGAATTCGATTTCGGGCATACGCCCAAGTCCCATATTTTACTACGGACCCTCCGAGACTGTCAAAACACGAGTCCGGGTCCGTTTACTGAAAATGTTGACCGAAGTCAAACTTGGCCTTTTAAGCCAACCTTAAGGAACCAAGTGTTCCGATTCCAATCCAAACTCGTCCAAATCCTGGACCAACGATCCTCGCAAGTCATAAACCAGTTAAAGCAAGTATGGGAGGTCTTATTTAGGGGAACAAGATTCTAGAAAGCAAAACGACCAGTCGGGTCGTTACGTTCTCCACCTCTTAAACAAACGTTCGTCCTCGAACGGAGATAAGAAAGTACCTGAGCTAGGAAAAAGATGGGGGTATCTGCTCCGCATGTCCTTCTCGGAATCCCAGGTCACCTCCTCGACAAGTTGGCCCCTCCACTGGACCTTTACCGTAGAAATCCTCTTGGATCTCAACTAGCGATCATGTCTATCAACAATGGCAGTTGGTTCCTCCTCATAACCCAAACTCTCATCTAGCTGGATAGTACTGAAGTCTAGAACATGGGACAAGTCGGCATGATACTT